ACATGTCGATCCCCTTTGCTCCTAGGCTGTAGGGGCCAATCTTTTGAATCATCGTTGTATAAACAGCCTTACTTTTACTAAATAATTATTTATTAAGTTTCTGCTAAGTGATAATCACTGGGATATAAGGAAGGAAAATAACAGCTGTCAGGGAGGCTTTCCTAAAAATCATGCCTGGGCTGAGACTCAGAGTGTGAGGTCAGCCAGATTAAGTGAGGCAGAAGACAGGGAAGGGTGAGCACAGGCCAGGCACCAACTAGATAGGGCAAAAAGCATCCAAGAGCTTAGGTATTTCTCTACAAAAGAGGAATGGTGAGGGGGGCACTACCAGCAACTCAGTAATTCCAGAGAAAAGGGCAGATGGGGAAAAGGCTACGGATGGAGATTTGGGCAGAAGTCAGTTTCTTTTTCTTTTTTCATTTTCGTTGAGACAAGGTCTTACTCTGTCTCCCAGACTGGAGTGCAGTGGCATGATCTTGGCTCACTGCAATGCCACCTCCTGGGTTCAAGTGATTCTTCTGCCTCAGCCTCCCAATTAGCTGGGATTATAGGCACATGTCATTACCACCTGCTAAGTTTTGTATTTTCTGTAGATATGGGGTTTCACCATGTTGGCCAGGCTGGTCTTCAACTCCTGACCACAAATAGTCCACCCACCTCAGCCTTCTAAAATGCTGGCGTTACAGACATGGTCCACTGTGCCCAGCCCAGAAGTCAGTTTCTGAAAGCCTCATATAAACCTTTAAGGTGCTTGGTGATAAATATTAATACATTCAAGAGTGGTTCACGGATCTATTTGCACTAGAGATAGTTAACTGGTAATGAGGAGCATGCAATTCAGAGGAATAAAAATAAATGGACAGAGATAAAATATGAGACAATGTTGCAAAGATGATACAGGCCTGAACTGAGATGTTTCTAGAAATATTTAGGCTGTAAGTATCAGTGGCCCCTATAAGAATGAATTTTAATTGAATGAATAAATGTATCTATCTGGATCCCTGGAGAAATACACTCTGCTCATTACTTTACAAAAGTTATCAAATGAGAAGTAAAATAATATACATAAAATGTTTCAGTTACTGGTATGTACTTTACACTTTTTCTGTTTTAGTCTTACTGTGCTGACAGAATGCATTTGGGGATTTTTTTTTTCTTTACAAAGATTCACTCTTGTTGCCCAGGCTAGAGTGCAGTGGCATGATCTCAGCTCGCCACAACCTCTCCCTCCTGGATTCAAGTGATTCTCTTGTCTCAGCCTCCCAAATAGCTGGGATTACAGGCATGCGCCACCACACCCAGCTAATTTTGTATTTTTGGTAGAGATGGGGTTTCTCCATGTTGGTCAGGCTGGTCTCGAATTCCCAACCTCAAATGATCCACCTGCCTCAGCCTCCCAAAGTGCTGGAATTACAGGTGTGAGCCACCATGCTGGGCCACATTTGGGGGTTTTATTTGAAAAGTTCTACTTCCTGGATCTACCAATCTTATGAGAAAATAGGAGCAAACAAGTCATTTGCACAGGTAAGATTTTGTAGCTTGTCATCATTACTCTAGAAGATTATCATCATGTTTTGTAAAACACAGTGTTAATTTTAGACTTAAGGGGAAAAAGAAATTAAAACTATAGGGGTGAAAAAATATTGCTGATTTATTACTGTTGACCTGATCATATGACTGATTAAGGTCACTGAATTTAACTTGTATATAAAGTAGACCCCATATTAGCTGCTGTTAATCAAGAGATGGGGTGTTCTAGCAGAATTGAATTTGATGCTCATGTGTTATCTTTAAATGATACAATTCTTCTTAAAACTCATATTCCTAGTGCATGATTATCCATTAAGAAGGTGATGGAATGTGTGAATACAGCTGACAAGACACTACAAAACAAATGCTCAATGGTTTTCATTAATATTGGGAAAATCACCCCCCAGATGCCAATGTGTGATGATGTTCCCTTCTCTGTGTCTGTGTGTTCTCATTGTGGGGGGATTGGGGAGGGGTAGCATTAGGTGAAGTGCCTAATGTAGATAATGGGGCAATGGATGCAGCAACCCACCACCAAGGCACGTGTACGCCTATGTAACAAACCTGCATGATCTGCACATGTGCCCCAGAACTTAAATTATAACAAAAATAAAAAATAAAAGTTTGAGATGATGGACTTGTTAATCACCCTTATCTGATCACTATACATTGTACATATCAAAATATGTACCCCATGAATATGGAAAATTGTTGGTTAATAAAAATAAAATATTGAAAATAAAAATATATTGGTTAAATCAACACTACCATACAGAAAGCCATAGGCATTATTTAATATTTGGTTTTGGAAGGTACTTTTAGTGACACTGCATACAGTTACACCTAATAAGTGCAAAATTAGAGATGTAAAAATAAATTAAAGAAGCCACATTGTGTTTGAGTAGGAAACCTATATATGTCTACCTAGTTTTTCCATCCAGCCCCAGAATTCTAAATATAATCATGGTACCCATACTTAAGTTTATGTTAAATACTAACCTCAATGAAATTACACTTTCTCCTCACTCAGTTTGTTATTTGTATGTTGCTTTCCTCAAGGAAAACATACAAATGCCTTGCTAAGAAGCATTCTGTTTGGTTGTAGGCTGCATAAGAGGAGTAGGACATTTGACCACAAAATGACTTTTTAAAAGTCAGAACTAAGGTAGCTTGAAGCCAACCGAGGTAATATAGAATAAAATTGTCTATGCTTCTTTCCTCCTTTTGTTTTCTTTCTACTCTAACAGCTGTGATTCACATAGATAATGAGGAGTTCAATTCCCTGATAGAAACACAGCTCCAAGATTAATCCTTTCTTTAACTGTGAAGTTCATGTGTCCAAAGTCTGCAGTTGCTGCCTGATTTTTGATCACTTATGGTGATACAGATAAATATTTATCATTAACTCTCAACTTCCCAAATCTTTGAAAAGTCTTACTATTGAGGGTCTGACTAGTAGAAACATAATCTAAATATTTGAAAATAAAGTTTTTATTGGTTAGTATGTTAATAGTAATACAAATTGTAATAAGGGGTAAAAATTCTTTCTACACAGAAGCAGTCCTTTGCTGTCCTCTACCCCACAAACACACTGCACTCCTTCATGGCCTAATGTATTTTACAAGTGCTGTAAACTTATCTGTTAACTCAGATAAGTTTACTAAATGTGAGTTATCAAGAATCTCTCTTTGTTCCAAGCTTATGTTATTTAGTTCAATTTACTTTGAATCACTTAACAATCTCTATTACATATTTTCCATAAGAAATTTGTTTATTAATAATTAAGATTCTTTAGGGATAAGAAAATATTTGAATAACCAAGTTTGTGCATAAACACATTAAGTTTAAATACCCATGACATTATTGTGTGTCTCTGTGTACTAGAGACAAAACCTTCAAGAAAAATTTTAATGAATATATGTTAAATTAAAAACTGCTTTCATTAAACTGAGATGATCTTCCCTCAATGCATGAATACCTTCAGAATTCACATGTGAAGCCTTAAATGTAGACCAAAATTGGTATAAAATATAATAGTCTTAAAAAACGTATTTGTGGCTGTGCGCAGTGGCTCCTGCCTGTAATCCCAGCACATTGGAAAGCTGAGGTGAGCACATCACCTGAGGTCAGGAGATCGAGGCCAGCCTGGTCAACATGGTGAAGCACCATCTCTACTATAAATAAAAAAATTATCAAGGTATGATGGCACATGTCTGCAGTATCAGCTACCCAGGAGGGTGAGGCAGGAGAATTGCTTGAACCCAAGAGGCAGAGGTTGCAGTGAGCCAAGACTGAGCCACTGGACTCCAGCCTGGGTGACAGAGCAAGACTCAGTCTCAAAAACACAAACAAACAAACAAAAAACCTGATTGTTCCCATGTAAAAATAAGTGTAGCTCCACACTAGGTCTAAAGAGTACACAATGGCATGAGACAGGGCAGAAATATATGTAAAAAGTCATATTCAGAAATATATGTATAAAGTCAAAACTGTTGAACTTAAGCTTTCTAAGACAAGTCAAGGAAAAGAGCAAAAAAATCCAGAAGTGCAACATGAAAAGCCATTTTATTGTCAAGGATTCATGATCACTAGATATTCACAAACTATGTGTATTGTTCACAACATTAGTTCTGAATTTTGATCCAAGTTCTTGTTTCATTCAATGACATACAAGAGGTCAAATAAGACAATGTCATTTGCTATTTTCAATCTTCTTTTTCAAAAACAGCACAGCAAACTTCTTCAGAGAAATGAATTGTCATAACTTCATAGGCTAAAGGGTCATGAGTCATAGTTTCAAGGGCATTTGTAAAATATGGCAATGCATGCTTGCATTCTGAACTTTTCAGCTTTAAACTCTCATGGTAAATATTCATAGATACAAACTGATTAAACAAAAGCCCTTTTAAATGTAACATTGTTTTTACTTTTTGTTCTTTCTTTCTTCATTTATCAGCAAAAGGAGAGAAAAGTCTCAAAATCACCATTTTAAAAGACTGTGTCTACCAGTTATAAATGATTTCCTTTCTCATTTTCAATAATAAAAGATGCCACACACACATACATACACACATACACACACATGTACACACAGTCTGCTCATTAGAACATCTGATTGGCTTCAGATCACCGGCGTAATTGCACTAGCAGGATATCTCTAAAATTAAAACAGAAACTGACATGTTAATAAGTAAAGCTTTCCTCCAGGTAAAGATCAGAACTCCAACTAGCACATAACACACTGAAAATACCTTAGAGTCTCAAAATTCACAGCTTTGAATCCCTGACAAGTATACAAATTTAATATTGAAAATTTTATGCTATTCAAAACATTAAAAGAGAAACATCTGAATAAAAGCTTACATTTTTAAAATCTTATTTTCTTATGCTTCTAAATTTATTTTTATTCAGATATGGAAACCAACAATAACATTTATGTCAATGCCGTCCATTCAATTTAGAGCCAATAGAATTAGGGGTAAGAAGAATGTGAGTACTTGTAATCATTTAATGTACTTATTTCCAGAATTCCATTTGTATTGAAAATGTACCTGCTCTGGATGTCTTCTGTACATTCTTTCTCTGTACTGCTTCATTCATAGCAGAATCCTCTACTTTAGTTGTAGGCTGAATGGGTTTTAAAATAAAATGATTAAGAAATCATATATATTTTGTACAACACGGAGTTCATATTTCAAAAAGTATATGCATAATTACCTTCAAGGGAGCCTGTTTTGCAGGAGGCCCTACAAAGCAAAGGGGACATGTCATCAATAATATGTAAGTATAACAGGGCCAACCAAACATTCATGCAGTGTTACTATTGAGCTGAGTCCTCATGCCTGGCTATGAAGATAATTTTCCCCTCATTCTCCTTCCCCTGTGGCTAGAATCATGCTCAGAAATAAAAGAAAATTAATGATTTCCCTTGATTCTGTTATTTTAAAAATTGCTGTCCAACGGGTCTGTTTCCAGACTTCCTAAAGGAAGGCTATTCCCTTGCTATTCAGAGCTGTGTCCAAGGACCAGCATCAACATCACCTGAGTACTCATGAGAAAGGCAGAATCCATACCTGCTGATTCAGAATGTGCATTTTCCAGAAGCTCCTGAACTAATTCATGAAAATTTCAATGTCCTGTTCTATACTGATGTGCTTCCATATTTGCTTACCCTAATTGTCCTTTTGAACTTAGCCTCAATTTCTTCCCTATTATGCCCCTGAATTTGATACTACATTTTAAGCCATAATGTTTCTAATGAACATTTAATCAGGACCTTCTCTAATTGACTTCCTCTCCATAAATCACCCACAAATACTCTTTTCAGTTATGTCAATTTGGCCTATATGATACTAACCTATGAGATTACAACACTTTCTAGAACACTAAATTATAGTCATACATGGCTATAATTTACTATAGCATGGTGATGTTCATCCAAAAAAACACGTCTTTGTATGAGGTACCTCAATTCTTAATGCCTCGCCAGTAGTGAGGATGACAGCAGGAGTAGGAAATGTTGCTCTGGTTCTCTGACAATTTTGGTACTGGAAGATCACTTTATCATCTATCTTATCTCTAACACCATGCTCTTCCTTCTACAGATCAAGTTGACTTTACTACCCCCAATACATACACTTCCACATTTTTTCTTCATTTATTCCCTGTACACTCTGCCTTCTTCATTCTTTCTTTATCTTTCATTCATTTCCTCTTCCCTTTTCCTGATGTGCCTCAAGTTTTAGTATCTTTAAATGGAACTGATAACTCATCTACTTTAGTGGCACTCTCAATAGAATCAATGGCTGACCCCTCATTAAAGGTACAACTTATCACCATTTTATTTCTCCTTTACTTATTATAAACTTAACAGGACATATTCTTTAGCTACTTCAATACATTAGTGCTCATATTTTTAAAGAAACATTCAATCAACTGACTTTTTAAATAAAATACGGTTCTTACCTTCTCTATTTCCATTCACTACGCTGTTTCCTTTTTCATGGAAAGGTCCTGGTAAAGGCTCTGGCACTTTCCTGGGGACACACTGCTAAGATGATATCAAGTATGAGTTTCCATTTTAAAAATTATGAGTTGCATCAATAGGTTCTTCTTATTATTATTATATTTTTATGAAACTGGGTGTCACTCTGTCACCCAGGGCTAGACCGCAGTAGCATGAATATGGCTAACTGTGGTCTCAACTTCCTGACCTCAAGCATTTTTCCCACCTCAACTTCCTGAGTAGCTGGAGCTACAGGTGCATACCATCATGCCAGGCTAATGTTTGTTTTTATTTTTGTAGAGACAAGTCCTCACTATATTGCCCAGGTTCGTCTCAACTTCCTAGGCTAAAGTAGTCCTTCCACTTCTGCCTCCCAAAGTGTTGAGATAACCAGTGTGCACCACCACACCCAGCCTAATCAATTCATTTAAATAAATAAACCTCAATTTAAGCCAGGCATGGTGGATCACACCTGTAATCCCAGTCCTTTGCAAGGCCAATGTGGGTGGATTGGTTGAGCTCAGGATTTCGAACCAACCTGGGCAATATAATGACAACGCTTCTCTACAAAAATATACAAAAATGAGTCAGATATGATGGCTGTGCCTGTAGTCCCAGCTGCTTGGGAGGCTGATGTGGGAGGATCACCTGAGCATGAGACGTGTTGACTGTAGTGACCCAAGATCATGCCACCAACACTCCAGCCTGGGCAACAGAGCAAAACCCTGCCTCCCCCTAATTTCAATTTACTATTTTAAAACTAATTTGACTTAAAAATAAGAAAAGCATGTATTAAAAACCCAAGCATTTTAGTAGAGAACCTCATCTACACTTTCTAGATCAGGCCCATCTGTTATCTCTACACAGTCATTAACTCTACTATCCAGTTATGGCAGCCCGAATAAACATGTTCACAGACAAAACATTAACATGTACATGCTTCAACCAGGAACTAGCTTTAAAGTACCTAACTCTTCTTTGCAGTCTCCACCAAAAATAGGAGAGTATTTTAAAAGACATTCGTATATTGTTCTAATACTTACTGTATTAAAAATTTTAAATATTCCTCATGTAAACATTTTAGTCTTAAGATACTTATGACAGAAAACATCAAAATACATTATGTTGAGGATCAACAGATCATTGTAGAAGCTGCTTCATTTAGGTCAACAAGGTCTTGGAAAAACCTACATAGTTTTGATAACATTTTCACTGAGAGAATAAATGGTTGAATAGAATGTTAATGTAGTAACAGAATTTTGTGTTATGTTTAAATACAAGCAAGCAAATACGGGATAAACCCTGTAACTATTTTGTTGTTGTTGTTTTGTTTTGAGACAGTCTCACTCTGTTACCCAGGCTGGAGTGTAATGGTGCTATCTCGGCTCCCTCCAACCTCCACCTCCCAGGTTCAAGCAATTCTTCTGCTTCAGCCTTTGGAGTAGTTGGGATTAAAGGCATGGGCTACCACACCTGGCTAGTTTTTGTATTTTCAGTAGAAATGAGGGTTCACCATTTTGGGCAGGCTGGTCTGAAACTCCTGACCTAAGATGATCCGCCCACCTCAACCTTCCAAAGTGCTGGGATTACAGGTATAAGCCACCGTGCCTGGCCAAGGTGACATTTTAAATAAACTACGATGACAAAATTATGGTGTTAAAATATTATCATTTTGGTATTAAGAGTCCCTGCTTCTACAACTGGTCCTTTGTAGCAAAATACATATTATTCTATTATATGAAGTGTTTTATATAAACTCTTCATGCACAATTTATAAAAGACACAAAAATTTCTTTGTAATACAGATTTGGAGAACATAAATTTATCATTCTACATTTCCACAATCTATATTTTTAAATCAGATACAGTCTTGTTATGTGTCCCAGGATGTTCTCAAATTCCTGGGTTACAGTTTTGTTGCCTGAAACTCAAGTAGCTGGAACTCAGGTGTACACCACCACATTCTGCTACATTTCTAAAATGTTCAATATTACATTAGTCTCACTAAAAAACTGACAATGTAAGTAAAGAAACAAATCTTTCCTAAAAAGTATATCCCAAAATAATGTGTCCAACAAAAAAAGCTATATGCTATGGGCTGAACTTTTTTGAACTAAAAAATACCAAAAAGATTCCATGATTATTACAAGTGATTTGATCCATTGAAGATTTATACAAGCAGAAATATTATGAAAGTCCAACTACCATGAATTAAAACTCAAAGTATTAATTTTTACCCAAATAAATCTTAATGAAATTTTATATTCTTTCTATTGGAAAAAGCTTTTCTTACTGTGATTTTCCCATCACAATGCCTTTTCCAGTTAATTTTTTTTAGCCCCCATCTGGTCAAAGTACTTGTCAATCTTTTGTTAGTTATCAAAGCTATTTTTTTAAATGAAATAGCCATATATCTGTTTTTCTCTGACCAAATTTTCATTACCAACATAAAACATTGATAGGTAATCACTTCTAAATTTTAACAGTAAATACCATGCAAAACTAGATTCAAACTTAGAAAATTAATTTTACAAGAGGCCACCTTACCTTGGTTGCAGCAGTCAAGACTTTATCTTCTGGTTTAGTGCATGAATCAACAATCACATCATGGAAAAGGCTTAAGAGCAAAAATACACAGTGAAAATGAGCAAGTTGATTTACTGTAAAATTTTTTTAACTGCCATTTTCTATCCAGCTTCCTCCTCCAAAAAAAACAAAAACAAAAAGATGGGGAAAGCTATTTGTATATTAAATAATATATATTATTATGTGTACATTTAAAAATATAGCTATGTGTATATTAAATAATGTTTCTTGATATAATTAAAATATGGCCTCTGGTCTAAACATAGATTTTCGTTCGCTATTTCTACTTCCACCTGTCTAAATCTATAAACTATTCAATGAAAACTGACTTTCAGCTCCATAACAAACAGTGACAGCCAATATATTGGCAGAGCCTCAAAATTATTTGCCCTAACAAATTCTCTGTCCAAAAGTTGAACTTAAAATTCAATTAATAAACGATATAATCGTGTCACCTAAACTGGAAGACACGTGATGACCTAAAACAAAGTAGAAAGATCCGCTGTCTCTTGTCCATGAGCTATGTCTGGTTAAAAGACTAATTTGAGTCACTTCAAAATAGCAGTCTTGGTTCCTCAGCATGAAAACCGCTTAAGAGAGTCCTGTTGCTTTCCTTTCCCCTAAAATAGGACAGGGAATCCCCTGCAACATTTGAAACCTGTGAAAGCTAAATGTAAAAAAGTCAAATAACAAATGTGTAGGGTCTGATTGAGAATATTCTTCCCAGAAAGATTAAAATATTGACAATTATTAAATTCCATAATTTTCACTGTATACATTCGATCTCATTCGGGTTCATATAAACTAGCAAGGTCATGAAAATATTCATCGGCACTCAGACACCCGAGGAGAGGGACTGCTCGGAAAACAGAGTCCTGGTAGTTGTACCTCTAGTTCCCTAAGTACTATCTCTACATGATTCCTCCCATGGGCTCCCACTTCCAGGTTTTATTTCTGCAGGGCTTCATGCCAGTCTCCAGTCCTTCAATCTTTTGTCTAGGAAAGCACAGATTCCTGAAAGGATGACCTCAAATGAACAAGAGTAGAAACGCTCTATATCCCTGCTCCTGAAAACAAATAAACGGGAGTCTCCATCACCTTCCTCCAGCATAGACACACTACTAAGTACTCAGGTGAACTCCATGACTGCTTTGTCAGCCCATCATGCCCCGGACCCAGCCTACATGGACATGGGAAAAACAACTGAATGGGGAAAAGAGGCAGAGGGGAGGAGACACCTGCCCTGAGCCCCAAGTCTATGTAGCTCAGCAATCTCCAGCCCCTCTGTACTCAAGGAACTCTAAGCCCATGCTCTGCAACTCGGGGTGGAAGTAGATGATACCACATCTCTACCCGCTGTAGACACTTTTCCCACTTTCTCAAAAGGTTTTAACATCGTTCGGTATGAATCTTCAAGTTTGTCAGTTTTTGTTAAACAAACAAAAATAGCAGCAATCGGTGTACATCTCCCTTGAACCTTCTCTTTTAATGTGACTTTGTAGATAATTCACAACATCTTCTGTTCTTCATCTTTATAATTTATCTTTATGAAACTTGTCATAAATCCCAATATTCTGATATCCTATTGAAGAGTCCACACTCCTATCCAATCCAGGGTTGTCTCTCTTCAAACTTGGCCTTTCCTGCTCATTCCATTCTTATCCGCTTCGATTGGGGTCACTAGCTAATTTCATTCTCATTCTA